GTGGGGTTCACGATTGAACAACCCCAGAGGAAGGTGACTTTTACAATCTATTGAGGACAACTAACAACCTCCGATATGTAGTTATCTTCTGGGGAGCCAAACGTATTGGCCTACAGACCACCAAAAGATTCCTGACTTGCTTGACTTTTTATTTATGAAAGGTATTTCTGATAATTATACTAACGTCAATCAATATATCTTGACATATCTTCAGACCATTCGCCTGTAATTTTAACAGTAAGCTTGACAACAATTGTCTAAGAAGCACCCCCTACTTTGCATAACATACCGACCAACTGGTTACACTTTAAAGAGACTGTCAATAATAGACTAGGACTAGATCTATCAATTTTCTTAAAAACCAACGAAGAAATCGACGATGTAGTTGAAATTTTTAACAATAAAATTCAACAATGTGCTTGGGAAGCAACCCAATGTCATCGTGTCGACTGCAAACTAACAATGGGCAACCATCCTGTTCCAATAAAGAAACTCATAGCGGATAAACGTAAATTAAGAAGAGTGTGGCAGAATACATGGTATATAAATAGTAAAACCAACTTTAATAGAGCGTCCCAAAACTTAAAAATACTTTAAAGACACGTTAGAAACTAGGTTTCAAGAATATAGAGGTCGTGCGGAACGAGGTGAAGCCTGAGATTTTCGGCGGGAACGGTCTAAAGCGGGGAAATCCATGGTGGGGGTAGGAGACGAGCCGATCGTCGCCTCGCATAGCGACACTTCCCCCACCACACCACTATTCCCCTCCAAGCTTCACCTCGTTCCGTACGACCTCTACAAGTAATCTTTCTTCGACAGAAGCATCAAACTACTCTTTATGGAAGGTAACAAACAACTTCAAGAGACCAAAAAATCGTCTGTTCCCCCATTATTAAAACCTGATCTTTCGTGGGCTAAAAGCTTGGTCGAAAAAGCAAAATTATTTGCGTCCCACTTCTCCCAAGTATTTACGCCGCATACCAGTGCAACAAACTCTCCTGTTACAGGAATATCTGGATTCACCCAATCAACTGGATTTCCATATCCAAACATTTACAAAAAATGAAATAAAAATATGCATCATCCATGAATTAGGTTTAAATCTCCAGGATATGATCTAATCACTGCAAGAATATTAAAAGAGCTCCCTGAGAAAGGTTATGAGTTCCTTACTCTATTATTAAATGCCATTCTCCGCCTCGAGTACTTTCCGACTCAATGGAAGGTTTCAGAAATTATCGTTCTACCAAAACCTGGAAAACCCCCAAATGAAGTAACCTCATACAGGCCCATCAGTCTCCTTCCCATGACGTCTAAGGTAATCGAAAAACTACTTTTAAAAAGACTAGGCCCACTGTTGGATGAACATAATGTTATACCTAATCATCAATTCGGCTTTCGTCAAAACCATTCTACCGTTCAACAAGTGCACCGACTTTGAGACAGAATAAGACAGAGCCTGGAGAAAAAAGAATATTGCTCTGCAGCGTTTCTTGATGTTACCCAACTTTATAAAGTGTTGTGGCATCCTGGACTTTTATTCAAAATTAAATGTTCTCTCCCTCATAACTATTTTCTATTGTTTAAATCTTACCTGGAAAACAGACATTTTAGAATAAAATACCAAGGAATTTATACACCAAGCTACACAAAATAGAGTCAGGTTTAATAACCGCAGGGAAGCGTCCTGGGGCCAATTCTGTATCTCATATATACGCCAGACATACCCGAAAATCCAAATTTATTTGTATCCACATTTGCAGATGACACGGCACTCCTAACATCCCATGAATACCCATTTTAGCTTCTCAAACACTATGGCCTAAACAGTCTTTCCACGTGGCTACAAAAATGGAGAATCAAAGTGAACGAAAGCAAGTCTGCACACATAACTTTCACCACCAGAACAGAACTGTCTGTCCCCCAGTCCACTTAAATAACGTACTTCTGCCTCACCACGATGAAGTAAAATATCTGTGCATCCACCTCGACAGAAAACTTACCTGGCGAAGCCATATTTGGAACAAACGGCAACATCTAAATTCAAAGTTTCGACAAATGACCTGGCTCATAAAAAAAAATTCAAAACTGTCAATAGAAAATAAATTATTGCTTTACAAGGTTGTCCTCAAACCAATATTTGGACGTATGGCATTTCTTTGTGGGGAACAGCTTCAAAATCAAACACAAAGATTTCAGTCAAAATTACTTAGAACCAACCTGAAAGCCCCTTGGCATGTATATAACGTCACAATGATTACAAAATTCCATTTGTTACTGAAGAAGTTACGAGCTGCAGTAAAAAAAATACATCTCCAAGCTTGAGTATCATCCGAACCATTTGGCCCTCAACCTCCTAGACAACAGTCAACATGTCTACAGATTAAAAAGAGAAAATGTTTTATAGACCTTCCGACTCGATTTGTACAGCAGCTCTGAAATTTATTTTCATTTTAGTGCTAAAATTTATAATGGTTTAAATACCCTGCATTTGCAGTAATCCGAAATGTTGCTTGTGGCAACATATAGTTTCAATTCACAGGGAATCATCTTTAGGCCGTACAAAGCGTCGTTATTCATCTCCGTATATGAAGGTCGTCATTTAATAAATAATTAGAACACGAAAACGCACATTGATAGACGGACATTTAACATTAAAAATAGGTACCGAGTACTCGGAGACACGAGACAGGTAACGCGACTGGATGGAAGTTGTAGCTCGTACTTAGCAAAATTTTAGCAAAATTTTGGATTACTGAATGCAGGTGTTTAAAACAGTTTAAATATTCAAACGTAATCCGGAGGCTAACAACTCTTGAAAATAAAATAATTAGCGCTAAAGCTGTTTAGCTGCTAACTCATGTTTTCCAATTTTTATTGTATTTATATAATGTCATCATATTTACTTATTGTATTGCCACATGAAATTCAAATATATGGTAACTTTCTACCTTGGAACCCTGATGACCAGGCCATAAAATATCTTGGAGTATGGCTGGACAAAAAACTTAATTGGAACTACCACGTTAATCAAAAACTGTCCCAAGGTTATGCACGCCTTGCAAAGCTTTTCCCTTAAATCAATAGGAAATTTACTCTGAAGCCAGCTTGTACAGTTCTAATCTATAAATCAATAATTCGGCCCTTGATTACATATGCATCTCCTATCTGGGGATTAGCTATATCAAAAAACAAACTCTTCAAAATTCAAGTGATTCAAAACAAAATTCTAAGAATAGCGGTGAATGCTCCCTGGTTTGTTAGAAACAGGCATACATGAAGAACTAGGAGTGGAGTCTATCTCGGCCTTTATTGAAAAAACCACCTCAAAATTTCTAAAATCTTTAAACGATGTTCCTGGTGCATTAACTTTTCATCTTGGTGAAGCAACTGAGAACAGGAGGCTACGTCAAAGGCTCCCTCAAGATCTATTGGAGGAATGAAGCCTAAAGAAGATTAAATTATTCTCTAAATTAATTATGTTACAGGGTGACTCAGGTTTGGGCGAACCCACGATGTTATTATAGTTAATTTCTTATTAATTTTGTTAACACTTCTGTGTATAATGTCTACATTGAACCAGAAATAAATGATGCTGTAAAAAAAATAAAAATAAAACAGATTGTAAATTAAACTTTGTTAAAAAAATCATTATGAAGTGTTCTAAATAACATGAATACTAATCTATATTTAAATTGGAAACTGTATTTCTTTGTCTCCACTAATTTGAGAGAACGGCTGGGCGTAGAAACTCGGTGTAGAGGTATGTGAAAGAAAGGTCTGTGGTCTGTAGATAATCCATCAAAAGAGAAACGAGGTAAAACCCTGGGGATTTGTCCCGTTGGCCCTGTAAAATTCCACTCCCATGTTATTCGTATTGAGGGGAAAACGTGGTTTTTGACTCCACTAATTTGAGAGAATTAAGCTGGGCGTAGGAAACTTTGTAGGGTGTTTGGAATGCTTTACGAACTTCCCGATACGTTGAGCGCACCTCCTGGAGCACCCGACGTGCCGGGGGTGTGTGGGACTCCTATAGGTTTCCCCGTAGTATACCTACTAAACCACATACCCCTCCCTGCCCGAGATCCCGGGAGGGTGGTTGCAGCAGCGGGCTGGTGCTGTGCTGCTTGAAGATCTTGCTGGGGGTTGTCATCTCTAGAAGGGGTCTCTCAGGCGGGGTGGCGGATGACACGTCGTGCTCCGCTGATTCTGGGGGTTGGCATCTTGAAGTTTCCTTCGTCGCCCAACCGGGGAAGCTGCTCGTTGAAAGGTCCCGGTCTGGTATAATAACATAATAACTCCGATGACTGTACTGGAAATATTTTATTCATTGAGTAATTAAACCATATTTTGTAACTTGCGCAGTATTCATTATTATTTTTACATTTATTTAGTCATATTACTCATTAAACAAAGCTAAAATGTTAAAGTTTTAAAGATTTCACTTTATTTATCACAGTTAGATGAATTAGCGTAAGCATTGCTTGAAAGTAAGCGTTGATTTTGACGGGTTTCACCTATAGTTATTATTAACTATCAATTATTGAGATGTGGACGCACCTAGGTGTGTACTTCCAAAATATGACTAAAGTATTTGTGTAGAGTTGAGTGTAATGATCTGTGTAGCTTTGTTATTCAAACAAAAAGCTATTACTTTACTATACATACCGGTACCATTGTATTTTTTATTCCATTTTAAACCTGGCCAAGAACACACATAGCTTTCAATTGTCCTTAAGACCTACCTATCGCTTTCAAGAACCATACATATTAAATAGCATTAACTTTGTTATACATTAATTAAGCCTGTATAAAAAAATAATATCAAACTTATTAATAGTCAATAATCAATGCTAAGATTTACTTGGCTTTAGATAACTTTATAAATTTATGTGGTTCTATGGTTCTAATGGGCGGTCGGCGGTCCTTTTTTCACTGATGCCTCTCCTCTCCTTTTTTAGTTTTATTTTGTTAGTTTGGAGGTTATGTTAGTTATTTTACTCAACGAAAACAGAAAATCCATTGAGATTGAAAGAACACTTAAAAAATACCTACTTTAAAGAGTTATCACCTTAATTTTCCTTATAAGTTGTTGAAATGTGTTATCGGTAGTTATGGACAGTGAAATGACATTTGATGAGTGTGAAACCAATGATATAGAATTAAATTGTAAATTATTTGACGATCTCAAGCCTGTTTCGGGTGTTACTTGGATTAACGATGAAGACACTGATGAAACTGAACTGGGATTTCACAGGGTCAATTCTGATCAAATTATATACCAAACGAAGAAAAAGAGGTGCAAAATGATAGGTAAATATGTGATGGGTGATTTGTTAGGAGAAGGTAGTTATGCCAAAGTAAAAGAGATGATGGACACTGAAACCCTGTGCAGGCTAGCAGTGAAAATTTTAAAGAAGAGGAAATTAAGAAGAATACCAAATGGAGAAGAAAACGTTCGCAGGTCAGTTTATTTCAAACTAGTGATGAGCATCGATAGGTCAACCATTGATGTTTACCATCGATTGTACCATCGATGCCAATCATTGGTGTAGGCCTACCTACCGATAACATCGTCCCGAAAACAGTGATGCTTTCGGGGCTAAAACATCAATGTAATCGAGGTTTTTTTTTAGTGTCTGCTTTTAGGCTGTCTGCAACAGCTAATTAAAACCTAAGACTAATACAATTAAATCATAGAAAACATTTATATCCACTCTATTGTATACATAAAACTATCAATTCGATTGATAACCAAACTAGAAGACCTAGGCCTAACCAAAATACGAACTTCTAAGCTAGGTACGGTAAGGTATTGATTGTCAATCGATAATTAAATTTTAAATGACTACTGTACATGTTGCTTGAAGTCAAGCAATTGCAAAGAAGTAAAGTAGGCCTAGGCCTAACTTAGTTATTTCAAAACATAACTTATTTAAAAACAAATAAAAGTCGAACAATTTCCGATGAGTTTAGAGACTCAACTCATAGATAACGTTCTAACAGTTCCATATATACTTAGGCCTAATCAAAATTTTTTTTTTAGGCTAATATTTCATCATTTTTTAATAGCTCTGATCTGGTTTTTTATTGTATTCTACAAATGTTTCCCAGTTATAAGCGCATTAGGTTGTCCATGTTGATCTTCATCATTGATAATTTAGCCGGCTGCACTTTACTTTAGGTCCTACACTCGTTCGAATGAAAATATCGATCGATATATCGATTAATCGATTGTTTCATTCGATATATCTTTTGGTTAGTTAGGTATGGTTAACCTAGCCTAACTAACCAAACGATATATCGAATGAAACAATCGAATAATCAATATTTTCATTCGAATGAGTGTAGGACCTAAAGTAAAGTGCAGCCATTTAGCCTGCATAGTAGGCCTAACCCATTGTATCCGTATCATTGAGCATCCGTAGGCCTACCAAGACAAAACAATTTGTAAAAAAATAAATTCGGGTTTTGCCAGGTACTCACCCGGGGACTGGTACAAACTGCCTGGCATGCAAACCATCTCTCACATAGATGGCAACACCACCACCTGTTTTCCCTTAACGACCATTTCTAAAAACAAAATAGCCAGGCAGTGCAATCAACTCGGACAAAATACTTGGCTTTAACAAAGTTTCAAAAACTGCAATAATTTCAAAATTTTGAAACCAAAAAATTACTCTGACTTCGTCAATATGTTTTGTGAGTGATTGCGCGTTGATGTGAGCGGCTTTGGAATGTTTGGAGAAGGGAGCAAGGTTGTCGATAAGGATCTGAGCGTTATCAGTTGGCAAAGGAGTGGACGGGGGAGGGGTGACTGAGGCGACGCTGTGCAGGTCCGCTATCCTGGACCTACAGCTCGGACCCGCGGCGAGGCGCTGACGACGTGCAATGGCGTAGCTGCAACAGACACATTCACTTTCGCATACATAGGCTACTACGGTCATGAAAGCTTGCAAAAAGAAAGAAATAATCAAATTTAACATAAATCCATTCTGTCATAACCAACTTGCTGGAATACAATCTACAAACACGTTACCTACATTCGTTTCGGCTCCTGACAAATGCAATTAAACAAAACAAACAAAATCTTTGACCCCGTTTTGCCAGACAAATTAATAAATCTAGGCTACTAGAAATTAAAATTACCTAGGCCTACTACAAATATTGAAAAGAATTTACATTTACAAATTTCTTTATAGTCGTCCTTTTTTTATTGCGATGACATTTTGTTTACGTTGTTGTACTTAAGAACTGCCTGATTTTCTGCATAACCTCTCTGTTACAATTTAATTTGCTTCAATTTTAGCATTAATTGGCTAGCTACTGAAAAAATGCAAAATTGAAAGGCTTAACTTAATGTTGTTCAGATATTATTGTTTCCCTTAAATGTAAATAATAATGTGAATGATGTGAATCCTTCAATGAAAGTTTTATCAAAGGTTTCTTTGATAAGGATCGTGTCATATTGATTTAAAATCACTTGACTTAATGAAAACATATATTAATGTCCTTGCCGTAGGCCTACCAGTTTAATTCAGCCTTAGAGCGTTTTCCTTTGCCAATCATCATAAAGCTAAGTCCGTGTTTTTGCTACAAAATAGTAGCACTTCAGCTAACATCCTTGTTCATTGTTTGTGGTAATCTTCATATTGTAGGTTTTCTTCATTATATAGAATGATAACGATAGTAAATGTTTTTTAAACATCTCTATTTCTTCTACTTGTTGGCGTTCTATGACTCCTATGTTTCCATGGTTATCAAATCGGTTCTTTCAATGATTGCTCGAAAGAAATACAGTAAGTTACCGGTACCCTGTCAAGTCATTTTATTCTTGTTTCGTTTGGTAAAATATGTCAAATTGCCCAGGCTTTCTCTATTTTTTACATTGTAATATGTACGAATGTAATTTAAAATAGTAAATATTTAATTTTAACAAAATCAGTAGGCCTAAATGTACCCAATGTTTTTAGTTTAGTTGAAAAAAAATAACAGCAATTAAATTATACAGCTGATCAAAATGTAAACAAATTATGTTCTTCATAAGGATAACATGGGAACTTTAAAAGCCACTGTGGCAGAGCCCAAGGGACTTTTCAAAGAATGTAATGTCAGTTTGCAAATCTACGCGACACGCTCTTTCCAATGAGACGTCAATGGATAAAATCGGTAAAAAAATGGTGGAGAAGTTCAATCGACAAATTTCGTGTTGGCTTACCTATTAATGTCTATATAGTAGGTACCGGTACCTATAGTTTCAATCCTAGGCCCACGATATTTTATACAGTGTAATATTAGTTTGGTACATATTTACCTAATTTAAAACGAGCTGTTGGCCCGTTATACGCGTACGGAAATCGAGTACCTAAGAAGTCAATAAAAACTGAATATAAAAATTCAAAACAGCTAGTTCAACACGAATAAAGACAAATTCTGTCTGTTTACATGGGGAAAATCATCTTGTAGGCTAAACAAATGGCACATGGTCACAATTTCTTTCATTCAATTATAGGCCTATACGAGATGTATTTTAAATCTGATAATTTAAAAACAGCATACTAAAACAGCAATTGTGTCGATTTAAAAAGCCTTGAAGTGAGATTGGCAACAGATTCACACACTAGTTTTGAGGAGAGTCTCTACATAACACCTCCTAAGAATGATTCACTGGATGGAATCCAATACTAATAATATCTGCTTGTTTTTTGGACGTTTTTTGACAGTTGCATTGAAATAATAATACAAACATGTTTATTTTAGAGTAATTTGTTTTTGTTTATGATCCATATAGTTTATTTTATAATCTGTAGGATCACTAAAACAACGTGCCCATTCCAGTGGCGCATTGTCAAAAACTACAGAATGTCCTTAGGTTTTCCTCAATAGGCTACTCTTAGCTCAACATTAGTTTATAATATTTTGCAGAAAAAAACTACGATTTTGAACAGTTGTAATTATTCCATTGCTAAAACACCCCATGTATCCAATACTGAATGGTATTTATGGGCATGTCCTTTTCTTTTGTACTGTAGGAGTAAATTGCCTCTGTACCGTACTGGAGATGATTTGCTATGAGCAAATGTTATACAATCAATTTATTTATATTTTTGTAAAGCGGCCCACACACTACGACCTGCATTGCACTTCGTGCCAAAAACTGACAAAACGTACAAGTGTGTGGTGAATACCGTGCAAGCACGGCGTGCATTGGCATGGCACGGTGGAAATCAAGACGAGTTTGATTTTTGGCTTGCCCTGCCGTTCTGACGTGCTAGTGTTTAGGCAGTCCCGTGCCACGTGCTAGTAATTCATTTTCAATAACTTTTGACAGGGTTTGACCCTATAATAGTTTTCTTATTAGTGAATCGATGGCATTTTGTCTTTCGCACGATATTATAACACAATGGATCGCTCCCTGTATGTGATGCGAGAGCCGAGACGGGGTCATGATCTCTATATAATATGAACGAAAGCATACATTCCCCACCACAGTCCTGTAAACCAAATGGGTCGCCGGAATTTTATCCCCCTGTAATTTTACCCCCTGGGCAAAGCTGACGTCACTATGACGTAGTAACCTGAGTGTCCAAAAGTTTGTTCGCTGCCGGAATTTTACCCCCCCGGATTTGGAAATCTTTGAATGAAAATAGCCAGAGCGTGATTAATTAGATTAGTGATAAAAACTGGAATATTACCCCCTGTCCATATAACTAGCGTTTAGACAACTGAAGATGTACGGGTCGGATTTTTACCCCCAGAATTTTACCCCTGGATTTTTACCCCCCGGAATTTTACTCCCGGATTTTTACCCCCGGATTTTTATCCCCCGGAATTTTACCCCTTGGCCGATTTTAGAAATTGAATTATTGGTTTTTTTTATTTCTGTTTTTAATTATAATTGTAAACATTTCATTATTTAGTAGCCTATCTTTATTTATTACATTTGTAATCTCAACTAAGTAGGCCTAAACAGAATTCACTGTTTGATTTTGATGTTTGGGATTTGCGTTTGGGGCCAACTGTTGGTTAATAAGTATGTAAAATGAACTGAGTAGCTCATTTAAATGATAATTGGGTGAACATTTCTTCGTAAAGAAACAAAACGGCATATTTTGTTACTAGCAGAGCACCCGTCCTTCGTACGGGGTTGGCATATAAGTATAAAATGCTTATTGCAGTTATACTCAAGCTTTGCGTTTTCAATGGGGGTAGGACACAGTTTGACAAAATTTGGTTCATAAATTTACGGTATGATATAGTATAACACATCTACTATTGCCATAATGTTCTACCACTGCACCTAAACAATAGAAAAAATAAATTATCAACTATTCTAATAATATCGCAATTTCTTCATTAAATTAAAAATTCAAACCTAACTGTAAACAATCCTACTTTGACAGTTCTAATTGTGTATCACAGCTTTTTGTTGCTATTCAGTTCAAATTAGTTGTTGTCATATAT